AATGGGCCTCCCCGCCCTGTGGCGGGTCCAACCGTTTGCAGAACTGCTAAACTGATTCTTCTCCATCTTATTCTTTAGCGTTTGTCCTGCTTCTTAGGGGGAGCCGCTTTTCCGTTGTGCAATCGCCCCTTTTCCCGATAAATGCTTGGTCGGGGTGGATATTAACCAACTTCAAGTCTGCGTGCAACGTATCGAGCCAGCGCTGTTTCGGGCGCCCCTTAGGCCGCTTTCCGGCACGTCTATGTTGAGGCCGATCTTGCGAACACTGTCATCATTTCCGCGAAGAACGTGGCCATACCATCGAAGCCGAGCTTCGCGCATTTTATCAGCAATGGGAGCTACACGCAAACGCTTCTCTAAAGCATTCGCGTATGACATCATTGCGAATGCGATCTAGTCGTGCGACACCAGCCGTTCAGCGGTCTGGACTATGTTACGAATACGGCGATCTACAATTCGTTCGAATACCTTCATGCTGTGGGAGAGCAGACGAATTGGACGGTAGCTCGTGCAATCTGCAGGACTGCCCTTTTCTTCCAGATCGGAATCGTCGTGCTCTGTTGCCAACTCTCAGGCACTTTCTTTTCTGCAACGACTTGGTTGAAGAACTTCGTCAACCACTCTGCAGGATTCCAGCACTGTGACTTCCACAGATCGGCCGCCAAGTCGTCGGGACCCGTTGCTTTACCTGTCTTCATCTTCTTCAAAGCCGCCTCTGTTTCGCTCACAGTTATCTTCGAGACAGGGACCGTGGACCGGAGGAGCAGAAGGGATTGGCGGGTGTGAGAATTCTACTGTCGAGATTTCTCGAAGTAGTCGTGCCACCGCTTCACAGCCCTTCTTGCGGTCCATTACGAGTCGCCCGTTCTCGTCATTGATGCCAAAGAACTTCTCGATATCTTCGGTCTGGCGATGGCGAGCCTTGGCTAGTTTGTAAATATAGCGTTCGCCGTCGCGCGTCTCGAGCTTCTCGCTAACGCCATCGAGATGAACTGCTCTAGCAACAGCCACAGCTTTCTTTGCTGCCTTCTTCGCGCTCTGATAGTTGTTCCAGTTATCGCTTGACTTGTCGCAGATAAGCACATGGTATTTTGGTATCTTTGAAGACAAGAGTTCTTCATGTCCGCCTTTCTTGAAACCTGGGCACTTTGATCTAAAGCAGTTGTTTATTGTTGTGTGCCACACAGGTTTTGTACGGTGGAATCTTTATTGAGCCTGACGTTTCGACTTACTTGTCGTCCTCAAAGGTCTTGAACACACTCAAATGTTACCTATCCGCTCATTATGGATCCACATTTGACCAAGTACCACGCAGGCTAATGAACTAATGAGAGGAAACTCCAAGAATGGGTCACATACCTCAACGGCTTACACAAGAAAGGAGGTTCCGGTGGTTGCAGGAGATCAACCTGGTGAGGTAAACGAAACACACATACTCATTTTTATATCTTACGTACTGAATGTGCTCATTGTAACCGTAACTCTTTAACAAAACCCATCAAAGCTAAATTGTGCGCTGCGCAAGCTCGTCCTTCCTAAAGAGAGTCAATAGGGTTGGTATTAACGCGACTAACTACAACGCGGAAAGTGGAGGGCTGCGTGCTTCTGTTTCTAGCACAGCAATGAAAATTTCTATAATCATCGAGATTGAGATTGTGTACCTAACCCATTCGCGACAATGTCAGCCACCGGTGGCTGACGCGAAGATGTCCACTTCGGACCATGTCAGCCACCGGTGGCTGACGGGCTTTAAATGGAATTTTTGAAAACAAAAGGAGGTCTTGGGAGATTTTCTTTGCTGTGAAGAATCTTCATACCCTCATCTATCTAGGCCACCCCTGGGCAAAGGAAATCTCTATCCACTAGAATTTTATTGAAGAAAAAATAACCTGACTTCAAAATTTCACCGAAAAAGTTGAAATTTTTTTTCCGCTGAAACTTTTCCCATGGGGGTTTTCGAGGGTCCTGATCTCAAATATGATATCCATTTTTGGCGCTGGCGCCAAATTGGCGCCATTTGGCGCCAGTTGGCGGGTGTTTCACCAAATTCGCTGTAAACTTGCGTATAGGGGTTATTTGAGGCCCTGATTACGAATATGACATTCGTTTTTGGCGCTGGCGCCAAATTGGCGCCATTTGGCGCCAGTTGGCGCCAAGGGTGTTTCACCAAATTCGCTGTAAACTTGCGTATAGGGGTTATTTGAGGCCTGATTACGAATATGACATTCGTTTTAATCGTTGGCGCTATTTAACACCTGTTTCCTGCTCGAAACCGAGGTCTATTTTCGCTGAGCAGCCCCGCGAAGGCCAAAAAAGGTGAGGAAATGGTCCAAGGTTCAATCCCTCATAATGACAAAATTTTTGCATTTAGGTTGGAGCTTCCAATTTGCTCTCAAATAACCATAACAAATAATAATAATAACCATATACAAGTTTACATCGAATTTGACGAAATTCAGTCAGGGCGCCATCTGGCGCCAAATGGCGCCAATTTGGCGCCAGCGCCAAAAACGAATGTCATATTCGTAATCAGGGCCTCAAATAACCCCTATATACAAGTTTACATCGAATTTGACGAAATTCAGTCAGGGCGCCATCTGGCGCCAAATGGCGCCAATTTGGCGCCAGCGCCAAAAATGAATCCCATAATCGTGATCAGGACCCTTGATAACCCCATAGAGAAGTTTCAGCGTGAACTACGGATGACATATAGAAAAAACTAAAAAAATACAA